CTTGGAGTCACAAACAGCGTCTTGTTTCTGTTTTTCCTCTATGTTGCATTGCGGAATTTCTCATGAAGAGGGTGATAAATTTAACGAACTACCTTTTGATAATGGGCTGCTAGAATTGTGGTAGGTGTGAATAGATCTTGAACAGAAGTGTTCATTTATCTCAGTTAGTCCGAAATCCAGTCAATTAAAATAGGTAAATAAATCTATAGGCAATTTGAATATTTGTGATGATCGTCAAGGGGCACTGGACAGCTGTTTCGTTCTGTTTGGAACTCGTCAGCAGTGCGCACTTTCTTGTCATCTGCAGTACCTGGTGCCTAGGAACAATGAAGTGGACTAATCCAAATTTGACGCTCTTTCATACTCCGATTCCGAGTCTCACTGATCTCTAAGCCTATTCACAATAAGCGTTTCAGGCACGATGTGAATGTCACTCGTTTGTGCCGGAAAGCACGACGTGCTAGGCCTGTCCCTCGTTAATCGTCCCAACACCACATTTTTTTTGTTTGTTCAACTGACCCGAACGACAAGTGACTCGTTGGACTTTTCGGTCATTTATAATCTGTCTATCGCCACGCGAATCAGCAGCTACCCAACTGACGCTATGCGATTTAACCGTTTATACTGTCTTATTGAAACTTACCATGCAGACTTGTTCGGGCAATCGCACTTGTCATCTTACCGATGACTTCTGAGTATGAATTCGGCCCGCGTTTGTCACTCACGATTTCCAGTTTACGATAATTAGAATAACGGAACAAATTTACTCAAGGTCAACAATAACTCCAGTTTCAACACAGGCCATTTAATTCTTTCTTCCTTTCGCTTGCTAGTATATCTATCCTGTTGGGAATTGGTATTCAGCACTCGTGCTTTTAAGGTTTACGTTACCCTTTTACAATGAGTTAGCAAGGGGTCCTGACCACACTGACTACTGCTTATTGCATCAGTGTATCATATAGACTAACTAAATGGCCACTGTTTACAGTAACTGGTGCTCTTACACACATGACTGACCACTAGCTCTGGCTAAATGATTTAATTTCCTGGTTCACTTTTTTCTTATATTTCAATTAAACCACGATCTGACCAAATGTCTCTTGTCTCAAGTTCCTTCACGTCCTAATGAGCGTAGAACCTCGAAGAATTTTACAAAGGAAAACGTGCAATGTCCGATCCATCCGGTCTAATCAGTGGTAACGCTCTTATTTTGTGCGAAACTGCTGATATTTTGGTTTGTATTCCCTACGTGACTTTTTGGTTTCCGATCTGTCGGACGTCGATCCCCAATGATTTGCGCTCTTCGTACACCACTCCGTTCCTTTGTCGGTCTTTGGCTTTGGCCAGCTGAATGGTCCGATTTGGGGAGGGGTGGGGGGGAGAATACATCTAGAAAATTCATATGCTTTGACCCGGGCAAAATTGGCAGTACTTCACCCGCGAATAGACTGTACGTTGATTTCTTTGTTATAACGGTTGTCGTACTGTGATTTTGTGGCACAGTCTGCATTCCGACCAGTTTGAATTATGTATTCAACATATATTCGGCTTATAAAAGCTTCAAGTATTGTATTGCCAGTGCAAAATGGATTCATATTCGTTGACAAAACGGGGTTTTTATAAACACATGGCTTTGTACTACTTTTCTAATCCCGTTCATCCTTGACCCCGAAAATCGTGTAGCACTTGTGCTGTACAACACAAACGGTGTTGACTACTTCTCACCACGGAAAGCGATGAATTCATTCCCACGAGTAAAGACCACGTTGTTATTGATTTAACGATCTATGAAATGCATTCCACCCAGACTATGGACAATGTAGTTCAAATAGTGTACCAGTTGAACTTTGTTGTATGATCTTCATGTTTCCGATAGGTCAAGGTCACTGCAGTTAGGGGATTTCGGACAATCGAGTCACAAGGGAACCGGGTTGTAACGAACAGATTATCCTTATTTGTTTGACCCTCCCGGCCGAGTTTAAAATTTGAATTGTTTGAAAAGGACAGAAGGTTGTCAGTCCTGATCGAGTGCAAATGGAATACTTGCGCATTTATTTGCCTTGTTGGTCCAGGTCCTGCGCATTTTATAGGCCCACAGAGTGTGGCGTAGAACAGAACACGAGGGTCGATCGTGCAGTCCGAGAGATCTCAAATGCAGCTGGAATGTGTGATTGTGTGAAACACCTAATAACCCCATTGGGATGTGCACCAACATAGGTGAAGCACTGTTATTCGTGTAACAATTGTTTGTGTGGGGGCGGGGAACGATGATATGCAGTAAGTATTTATTGGGTTTAACTAACTCAGCTTCAGGGAGCATATTATTCTAATAGTGAAATATCAGAATATATCCACCGCTACACCCAAATCTTAATCGCTTCGTTTCCAAAAATTGAAATCCGGCTTTAACAAAGAGGCATATGGGATCATAGATAATCGTTTGCTAGCATGCACTCTTCCTCGTCTGTATAATTTGCCATTGTAGCGATACTCGGGTACAATTATTGTCATTGAAAACACGTCAGTCTTCAATTAAATCGTTTGTGATTTGTTAATTTGGATTTTGTATGCGTAGCCGCTCACGTCGATGGGACAAAGAGCTGTCTGGTAAATTGTAAGTTAAACTTTGAAAAAATTGAATGCAAGTGACGCTATACGGCTGCAAACTGTTAACCTTTTAGCATGCACCTTGTCAGCCCCATTTATTGCAGTCAGTCACTCTAAGTATGTCTTGAAATAAATTTACCAGAAATGTACATCGTTCATTCTGAGTCAACTATACGCGTACACAGGTTCCCCATTGCTAACACCTGCAGATGTTGTGCAAATCAGTCGGTGGTGTCTCACCACATGTCATCCTATACCTCAGTGATTGATATTTTGTTACTTACTCGTGTTCCGCTAATTCTTTTTACTCCCTTCCTTGATCGATTTCCCTACTGGTAACGTGAGCCGAGAAACAATCGTTCGTATGTATTGAAATGAGTTACTTTGGAACCATTGTGCCCAATTATAAAGATATATTTTCGTCACACAAAGTGAATGAATAAATGGGAAACTGAAGCCAGTGATACCAGAAGCAAGTGACTTTGATCACTTGAAGGGGGAGGGTCATGGAGATAAAACAATGCAAACTACTCGTGTCACATTACTTGTACTCCTACTGAGCTTGCACGAATGAAGGCAATTATTTTGAGCTTGGTCTCACGCTTATCATTACTCTGTTCTTTTTCTCTCTCTCATGAGTGATTATTGTTTGCCAAATCGGTTTTGCTTTGATCTCAAAATAATGTTTCAGATGGGCATCTTTTTGTGACCACGTCACACTGAAGTCATTCGAGAAAGATCACTCGACA